CATACACAACATCTTAATCCCTTGGTCAGTTAGATAGGTTTAGAGTAGTGGGGCTTTTTTCCCCTAGTTCAGTTTATTGACAGGTTAGCATTTGATCTACAATATAGAACTTCTTTTTCATAGAAATAATCTGCATGTCAAAACTAAGGCACAGAGCACTGTACTGCCTTTCCACAGATCAGTATTTCAGTCTCTCCCTTCAAGCAACGTCTTAACCCAAGTGGCAGCTGGTTAAGAAATATTGGCTTTCAATAAGGTAACACTTTCCACAGAAACTAGTTGCCTGAAGGAAAAAGCTTTATCATTTAGTGAAGACATTAACTAACTTAAGCAACTGAATGGAAAGCAAAATTGCAAATGGTTCTGCTTATGTTCCCCTGATGCTGTTGCAGAGATGGCTTGGCCCACCTCTTGCTAGGGCCAGGGCAGGGGGGCTCTGGTTGAGATGGATGCCTCTGCTTTGGGGAGTTCTGCATATTCTCAAGGCTTGATCTGAACGCAGTTGAAGGGGCCCTGCCAGCATGGGCAGTGAAGCAGGATGGGGCAGAGCCTCATGTGCCCCATGCATGTTCCTCATGACTGAATACAAACACCCCCATGGGGGACCTGCGGTTCAAGGTGATAGTATAGCTGTCCCATGTCTGCATAGTGCCTAGTGAAGAAGAGTTCAGACCATGAGGGGGAGCCACCACTGAAATAAGCATGGCAATTATTCGTGCCTCCTCATAGAAGAGCCTTTTGTGTTCAAACAGCCTGTTACTGCAGGAAGGATAGTTCTCTTTTCCTGCTACGGTAGCAGAAAAAAAGGAATGACACCAAAAATGTAGCTGCAAACTTGCTGGCGTGTGAGTGCAGGATTTTCCACTGACAAGTCATCTGTGCTGTTGCCTGCATGGAATATAGACCCCGTGGTCATGCCATAAACAATGCATTCCTCCATGATTCTCCTGGGTGCAGTGTCATGGGAGCAGTGTCGTGGGAATGATGTCCCTTGTTATCAATACTGGCTGTTCTTGTAACCCTTGTTTGGCTGCTTCTTCCAGTGCTTTCTCACACGCGCACGTTTCCATCCCTACAGCATTCCTGCCAATCTTCGTATTTCTGTTAAGAATCTCTCCACAAGGACTGGCCTGGCTGGATCGCTATGGATGCAGTTTAGGGGAAGCGCTAGTGTCCTAAAAGTGATGTTCTGCCACATGTGTGGGAGGCTTTGTGTATGTGAAGCTTTCCATATGCCAAAGAGGCTTTGTATATATGAAGGTTTCTATATGCCAAAGTGGATTTGCTCCAGGACCAGAAGAAGTCCCAGCTTCACCCCTTCAGGACAGCACCCCAGAAACCTGCAGGGTAGTCTCATAATATGCCTGGTGTTCTGTCCTGCTGTAGTAGCTTCCAGACTAAGGCTTCTTGAGAGATGCCCACTCCTGTCCCAGAGGAGATTGTGCAAACACATGGATATGGGTTTGGGACAATCCCAGATGTGATTTACAACCCTATTGAAGTACTCTGTTGCCCAGCAAACATTTTTTCCACCAAGATGGAGTCTCTGGAGATGATTTTGCTGCATTATCTGATGTTTCTTCTGGAGATAACCAAGGATGAGGGAGAGGATGCAGACATGGTTCTGTGTGCGTGTCTGACAGTGAGCGCTTGGAATCACAACTTGACCACTCAGTAGTATTTAATGAAGCTGTTCCTAGGCCAAGACACTCACTGGTAGTTCTGCTGCCCTGTCTGTAGCCTAATGCATGTCGCTAGAGCTTGAGAGAAATCCCCACATACACAAGGGAGAGGTTATACTTGTGCTATAGGGCAATAGGTGAAGACATGATCCTGCTGAGCAGGCTGGCTTCTACACTCAGGTTGAAATTGTGGTAGGGGATGTTTATTATCAGAGCAAGAGGATGCTAAACTCCTTAAGCTAGAAAGCATTTCTAGACATGGACAGGCTGCCTGGATGGTTAGGAACACAGGCTAGGTGGAATCAGTGACTGCCCTGGGCTGCTCACAGCATTATGGTATCTGTGGAGAGTTGCCTGGGGCAAGTGAATGGTCACATGCTCAGATTGAACCTCTGCTCAGTCTTTGACCAGCTTCTCCTCTGCCCTATGCAACAGGGATCAGACCACCCCCATGCAGACATGGGCTCTGCTGGCAGCCTCTTGGCAGTGAAATGGATCTTATTCTATTGAGATGAGAAGGGGAAACTGCAGGGTCTTATCATCCACTGGGTTTAGTTTTGCCTAACAGACATAACTTTAATTTCCCTTAAAAAGAAAAAATTTAATTTCCCTTAAAAAGAAAAAATTTAATTTCCCTTAAAAAGAAAAACTTTAATTTCCCTTAAAAAGAAAACCTCTTAATTCTTTTAGCAACACGCAGATGATCACAGCTTTATCAAATTCTCAGTCTTTGCCAACGGTATTTCAGAGCTCTTTTCCACAAAGCTCATCTACTGAAATCACCAACCCTCCTTCAAGCATAAGAACCTAAATCACATGAAACAGCCTTTTTATCACCCTATGGAACACCTTAATTCCACTTCAAATTCCTCTCCACATCAAAAAGGCTAGGTCCTCACTGATCCACCGGTAGATTCTGGCTTTGCACTATTACTTATTCCACTTTGCTTTGTGGGGCTCAGGAATCACAACTGTCAAATATATTTATCTAGAACTGCATTTTTAACAACATTTCAAAAAGACTAATCCTTTTAAGATGTGTTGATGAGCGACACTTGACTGCTGAGAGTAACTAGAGAAGCGTAGCAGACACTGAACCCTTCTTGCAGTGTCTGAAGAACTTCTAAAACAGACTCAAAATCACTGTGTTCAGAGGTATTTGCATAGCCACTGTGGATAATGAAGCAATCTTCAGTGGTATTAAAGTTTCTCCACCACCAAGAAGTGACTGATTCTTCATCAAACAGTATGAATACAGACACGGCTTTGAGTGAATTCTTGCAAATTAGGTCTTTTTGGTGCCTCCTTTAACAAAGGAAAATAAATTAATAATGTCTTTGTTGTATAATTTTTACTCTAAGATTCAAATTCACTTCCCACTGCTCTTTTCTAGAAATGTATCTCCATGAGAGGAATTCCAAGGTTCCTAGTGTTACAGAGCAAGAACAGGAAAAGTATTTGTTTTTTTCAGACCTAAACATACACGTGTTAAATACCCAGGTTAGCCGTGTTTAACTCTCTGTCTATGTTACAAGAGGAAAATAGCAGCCTATTTTGTTCTCAGCTCCCTTACAGGCTTGTCTTGGTCCAGAGGATGTCATTTTAAAAGTGTGATTGCAGGTAAAGGCTGTGAGATGAACTCTCCAGGAGCTCAGCCATTCTTGCAGATCTCTGTTCTCCTTATGAGATCAGAAGAGGAGAGTTCAGCTTTTTTTTGCCTGACAAACCTTCTTTAGCTCCTTGCCTGAAGAACTGAAGATGTGCATGAACTCCGGCAGCATTATCTAGTACCTCTTGTCATGTCGTAGGCTTAATGTATCTGCTGGCTAAAAGTGCTTGTGGATAAAAGGTACCCTCAACTGTCCCCTGCCTACCCAACTGTACAAGGAAAACTGCAATGGGAAGTACCTGTCCTTTACCGGCAATGATTTTGTCTTGTCCATCTTTCCTGTGATTTAAGGGTATCACCTGGTTGTTAAATGTCATTATTGGAAGCTTGAATGTTAGGCTGCAGAAAGGCTCTTTATCTAAGACCTTTTCATGCTCAAGACTGTGAAGATCATAAACTGAATTTGTAAAGCATGCAGCTTATCTCTTCAGCCCACTAACTAAACCTATGGTGACGTTGTCATCCCTGTGGCTGAATGAAGGGGGCTAAGAAGTAAGAGCACACTGATCGTGTGTACGGCTGGAAGGGACTCTTGAAAAATAGAAATGGAAACATTTTTTATTATGAAGCTTTTTATTTAATTGTTAAATAGAAAGAGGTAATAACTTAACAGTGCAGACAAAAGGAGGAGCGCGCCGGATGTATAGAATTCATACATCTATATGGCTTGGGGAATAAACTTTCTCAGGAAGATGAAAACTTCGATTCTTAATAGAATTAAATTTCATACTGATCCAAGCCAGGATAAGAGCAAAGGAGGAAATACATAATTTCAATATTCACAGAATAAGTTCTTCACGAAGTCAGTCGTGGATGCTGCGTTTTCCTTGGATCCTCACTGTAAGTGAAATGAAAGAATATTTAGCTTTCAGAGCTCTCTGAACAAACCATAGTATCTCTGAAATATGTAAATATTAAATCACATTTTATTTGACAGCTAGGATCGGTTTATAGGTGTTGACACATCAAAGTGGCATGGGGAGTTTTCTTATTTCCTTCCATAGCTACAATGGACAGGAATAGATACTACATAGAGACAATGCAAAATTGCTGTTTGATTTGGGTATGTGGGTAAGTTTCTTTAAACATTTCAGTGGATTTATGCAAACTCTGTGTTCTTATCCCATGGCAAAATACAAGGTCATACAATGGAGCTGAGCTTTCTTCCATACTAATGCCAGCTGCACTACTGTGCAGTTGCTGTAGGCTATAGACATGCACGCAGGTTTTTCTTTATTCCAGCTGATACATGCTAACTTGAAGCCTGTGGTAACTTAATTGTATAGTCATGGCCTTAGTTCTTAATTAAATGGAACTGAAGAAAAAGTGTTTCAGGCAGATATATTTGGGGGGTCCTGACCATGGAAATACTGCCCCTTTTCTTGCCATGGGGCTGGGTGACCTGGTTCTTCATAGATCTGTCTTGCCCTCTGAACTGTGAGATTAAAAACTGCATCTTTTTCTCAAAGGAACAATATATTTAAATAATTCATCATGATTTATTCTCTTTCTACTGTGCTAGTAACACTAGCACTAACATTAAATTGGTGTTATCTTTAATGGCACATGCTTTGGAATGGCAATGTATCTGAGAAGCAAAGTGAACAGTACATCACCTAGCTAACACCACTGGTCCTGAGCATGGACCCCGTCTGCCTGAATGAATTAGATGGTACCAATGTAAGACCGATCCATTATATCAAAGGCAAGGTAGAAAGTAATGGCTTTTGTAAAGACCAGTTCCTCACACAATGCTTTTCCTCTGTGAAGAGGAAGGCTCATTGACACAGACTGTTTTTCTTTTTTCACTCTCCTTGTTCTCAGACCTACCAGAAGTAAAGGTGGCTTCAAAACCAGAAGCTGTACCAGCACCATCGGTGACGAACTCTACGAGCATGAGATTACCAGAAGCAGTTACATCATTGGGTAACTTTGATCCACAGGTCTTGTCCATTAGAAGTGCAGAAGATTTGCTGGATCCATCATAAACTTTAACATAATCACCCTGACATCCTCTGGTTGTCTGCAGCTCAAAGGCTTGAAAGTGCAATGAAATCTGGAAGGGAAGAGAAAACCAGCCTTTATTATACAAGTTTGTAACTTCTTTCATGGAATATCCTATAAAACAGACAGAATCTAAGCTGTAGCCAAGCCCAAATGGGAATTGCTTACCCAGCCTTAACACTCATTCCCTGAAGTTGCAGGGTTCAGATCTAACAGGCCTGTGACTGAATGCTCCCATGCTCAGACTGCTTTCTCTTGATTTTTCAAACCTGAAGCCCAGCATATGGAAGTTTTTCAAAATCACAACTCTGCAGTTGTCTTTGCCCATACCTGGCTTAAGGACAAGAAGTAGAGACTAGGCTGAAAACTCTCTCATGGAAAAGATCTTAATCTGGCAACTGGCATGCAGACAAAGTGCAAAATGCTTATCATAAAGAAGTAAGTTCATGCATATTCCAAGATCACTGTTAACCTGTGATTACCTTTCTGGATCGGGTTCGGATGAGCCAGACACAGTTGGTGTTATCTGAGTAATTTCTTGGGTGGTTCGCAGATCTCAGTGACCCAGATGCTGCATCAAGAATAGTGCTGCAGCGACCTGAGAAAGAAACAGCATTTGCTTCAGCACCAGGCTTGCAGAAACTTCCATTCATTTGCAATTAAAATCTCTTCAGAATGGATTGGTCTCGATTTTCTGATCTGCCAGTATTCATTTCAGAGTACTGGTAGGTCCTGATTAAAATGAAGAATCATATTGTCCTAATTTTCACATGATACATAAGCATCTACATCAAAATGGAAAATAAAGTAGTGCTTAGAAAAAGCATCAGCTTTTATTGATTACTCTATAATTTAGCACGGGATCTCTCTGCACCTCTATAAAAAATGTGAGAGGTTTCAACTCACTGCAGTTGGTGATGTTATTTCCCACTGAGATGGGAAAGTCAAGTGATGTTAGAAGAGTCAAGTGCAAATATGATGTCTTTGCAGTGCTTAAACTCTACGCTTAGGAGGAGGTCTTGAGCTTTCCTCTGTGCAAGGGGTAATATTTTAGTAATCGTGTTTTTTCCCTTTGACTAAATAAATTTCTCTGTATGGGAGAATATCTTCTAACAGAGGTTAAAAATAAAGAGTTAAAAATACATCCAAATATAGAATGACAGCTTAAACATTTGAAAACTGGATAAGGGTTCATGAAACTTCCATTTCAGAGAAGCCTATAACTGTTCTGGTTTGGTTCAGGTCTTAAATGCAAACTGCAATGAGGAACAGAGATGTCTGGTTCTTTATGGGATTTATAGTTGTCTCTTGAGCTCTAAGAAAGCAAATTACTCCAGTGAAGCTACAATGTGGTATGCAATTAGGCCCCTTATGCCAATATAGTGAATGTGTCTGATTTAATTTAGAAGCAGAAAGCATCTTCCCACTAATCACGATGTGTCTCTAGCTTGACCTTGGCATTCTCTCCCTGCACAACCTTGGTGGGTACTATGAATTTAGGTGAGTAGTCTCACATTCTTTAATGAGAAACTGCTGTCTCTGCAGTGTGCCCAAATAGGTCTGAGTAAACAATGAAAGGATGGCTCCGAGACACTTACTGCAATTGTAAAGTTTGTTGATTTTGGCCACGTCCAAGTTGCTTAGTCCCTGCCTTTGTCCAATATGGACTGATTCATCAGGAATTGGTACAATAGTTGCTTTCCCAGTGGTATTAGTGAATGTATATCTGAAAAAAAAAACAAAGCCATAAAAACAAATGTTCTTTAGGTACAATTACTTCTTTCAGGATTTAATGGAACGTTTTGGAGGCAGAACAAGAATGGTGCTCATGTTGTTGTGACTAGCAGTGCCCTTCAAATAGGTTTGATTAACATAACCAGCAGTAAGCAGAGTCAATCTCAAGATGTCCTCCTTTGTTCCCAAGCTCAGCTGTGAATGGCTGATTAATGGAAAGCTAAAGGGTAGTGAATAAGATAATCTTAAAGAGGGGCTTGTCTGAACTGCTTCACAGTGTTTGTCTCAGAAGGAGAAATGGGGAAACTGGTAGTTAGGAAAGAGTTATTGTAGAAACTAATTCTAATGTAAGATTTAAGTTCCAACAAAAGCAATGCCATGCTGCTACTTACGGGCCATAGTGCATTACTGAGGAATAATCATATGGAAGACCCAGGTTATTCGAGTTTTCAAACTTCTTGAAGTCTGGTCTGTCAGCTGGAATATATAATATTGTACTTAGTCTATGCTCCCTATGTATTACACCACTTTCTGCATTGAAGAGTTCAAAAGTACTTGCCTGGACTGATGTACTCCCACATGATCTTTACATGTTTATCCCTGTCACTTCGAGAATGTTCATGCAAAAAGCCCAGAGCATGGTCCAGTTCATGTTGAATTATTCCTTTCCACATGCAGCCTCCTTTCATCACAGAGACGGTCTGTCCACCTCCTACTCTCCCATAGTTGGACCAGCAGCTGAGAGAAGCATGAAACACCAACAGAAGACTTTATTGTCAGGCAGAAAATGGAACAGAACAGAGAACCTTGCTTCAGACATGTCTTGTGGGAGTGGAAGGATTCCTTCCTGTCCACTGTGATAGTCTACAGAGGGGCAAACCTGACCATGATGTAGGAAACAACAGTGTGATCATTACTGAAGCATCCTGGAAGGCATTCATTAGCATGGAGGCTCCTACATTCTGACTTTCTGTGCACAGAGTCTTTAAGACCCTAGAAGTAACAGCTGTTTTTCCAAAACACTGAACACTGTATGAAAACTGGAGCGAAGATGAATAGCGCTTTAAAGCTAATGGATGTTAAACAATTCTCTCATAAGCTTTAATTCTCACCTTGACAGCCAACTGTGTGATTCAGAGAACTGTTTATTTCATAAGTTGAAATTGGTTTTTGCCTGTCCAAATAAGACCTCCAGTAACGTGTTACATGTGGTGCTAAGAGTGCCACACAGAAAACATGAGCTTGTTATTCTTTCCACCTTAATGGTGCTTTCCCATGATCTGCATCACTTCAGTGTCTTTGTTGAGTTCCTAATACAACCGCCAAGTCCTTGCACTAGCAAGGTATGCGAGGAGATCCATTCCTCTTTCCTCTCTAAGGTCACATGGAATAAGTGTGGTGAAGAACTGAAAAACAATGTAGCATAATTTGTTAATTCAACTTACCCATCAGCAGATTTAATGCTGAGGTAGTCACGCTCTGTCTTACGCTTCACAAATTTAATACAAGTCAGTGCTTCAAATTCTGCCATGGCATCATGAATCCCGTTTATGTGGCTCTCCTCTGGAGAAGAAAGGGTTAATTGGGGGGTGGGGAACACACAAGGACCAATAATTAATTTATTCAGTAATTAATTTCATTTAAGCTATTAATAGCCCTGCATTATCCTCTTTATCCAGAAATGTTGAAATGGATTCAGGTGGGGCCCTTTTTTTCTCAAATACTCCTTTTAAGTTTTAGTAGTAATTGTGATGTTAAGGTCCTTTCCAACCCTCACTATTCTATGATTCTATTCTATTCTATGATCTTCTGATTAGACACTTGGAGACAGTTATAGAAAGCTCTTTTGCTGATGAAAAATAGGCTATTGAAGCCACACTGCAATAGTCATGGGACTTATAAAGGCAGGTATCCTGGCAAGTACCATTAGAAGGAATGATCTTTCTTGTCTCCAAGAGACCAGTCCCAAAACATTACGGAGGCAAACTTCTTGAGGATATTTGATCTCTTTTTCTTTTTCCTGTTGAGGTCTTTGTAATTTACAATTTTTCTGTGCTTGCACAGTACAAGTGAATCCTTAGAACTGATTTAATCAAGTATTTGTGAGGCTACTGGAAGTAGGTTTCTACCTGAAGCTTATTGAATAAAATCCAGTAAAAATAATAATAGAAATTTACACCCACCGTAAGTAGGATCCAAGACGTAGGGCACACGAACAATCCCATCGCTGGACTGCGGCCAATTGCAATGGCGACAGTTGATGGCACTGCGACTCCTTCGTGGAGCTATGTCACCTTCTTGTAAGTACTGAGAGCTGTCTGTTGTGAGAGAGGATGGGTGGAAATTCCTGAGCCACAGATTGCTGGACATCTACTAAGTATCCTTGGAAAAGGGTTACTCTACTCATCCTCCTTTTCTATTTTTCCCTAAGCATCTTCTCCTGGCTAGCATGAGAAATGGGCTATTGATGGACTTCAAATGCATCCCTACTTTTGCTGCTGTGTCCTCATCTAAGAGAAGAGGTGGGAAGCTCCAGCTCTCTTGGATGGGGTTATGGCAAGACAGGAAATGACCAAACACAGTTGCAATAGTGAGAGGGATGTTGTACTTTGGTACTATTTCATCATCTATCATGTGACACTGAATGAATGGCATCAAAAATCTCCCCAGGAAGGATGCTGGGGAAAGACGAGAGATGTCAATAAGGAAACCCAAGAAAGCAATCAAACCAAAAAGAGAAGTGAGTGTTGTCTAGAGAAAACTGTAGGACGGTTTGGTGTCCATTTCTAGACAGTAGTAAAGCTTCTTAAATAACTGCTGAAGGAGAAAATGTGAGAAAGACAAGCTAATAGAAAGGGGAATGTTTGGAAGAATCAAGGGAGAGGAAGTCTGGAGCAGGGAGCATGGAACTGACTATAGCTTATCTAGGAGTCTGTACTATAAAGACATACTATGACTGAATGAAAGTGATGCATGCATTCAAGAAAAAAGCAGTTAAATAATAAAGCATCCAAATATCCAAGTTCTCTTTTTATGGCCAAAGAATGACAAAGATGTGGAGAGCTAAAGCTGAAGGAGCTGTCTGCATAGTTCTGTTGGCTCCATACCTGATATCATCTTCATATTGACACTATAGATTCAAGATGCCATGGGGCTTCAGCAGACCACACAGTGGCCTGACTCTGGGCATCTCTTACATGATGGTGTGCAAGATGGGAAAAATACTTGCACAGATTGTGGTGAGACTTGTAACTCCCACGTCACCCCAAAAAAAAGCAGTAGAGACACCCATTATAAGCAGGGATTTGGTGGTATTACCTTTGTTAATTTTCAGAATTCTGTTAAAAATAACTTCTTCCTCAGTGTCAGACTCTGTAGGTGATGGAGATTCTGCACAGAAATACAAGAAGATCATTTTCTCATTTCTATGGAAAATGCAAATCCTGATTTTTAGCATGGTGATTTTCCAGGAGCTTTCTTAGACTGGGTCTTGATTACAGTGATGGATGCAAAACCTATTAAGGGACTGGCATGGGATTCAGTCGTGTAGCTATTTGCCCAATGGTACAGTCTTGTGAACCTTCACCTGTGGCTATTTTGGCATTAATCCAGCCCCCAACCCCATTCTCTTTCAATCTTCCCCTCTCTCCCCAACAGCACAGTTTTCCTTCTGCATGCACAGTTCACACTCAACCCCCCAGCATAAAACACCAAGGGCAAAAGGATGGAAGGAGTCCTGCTGCTTGCTGCTGGTCATGCTGACCTCTTGAAAAACCCTTGAAACCAATGAAATTAAAATGTATTGTTGTTCCATGGGGTTGATTGATGTCCACAGCTAAGCATCAGGGACAAGTAGAATAAGCCAACACTGAGCATTATGCAGTAAGTCTTGACATCAATAAAAGCACAAGCACATGGCCTCTGTGCTTTCTCTAACCTTTGGAAATGACTTAAGTCAAGGCATTATCTAAGCAGAGCTATTTTCAGTAGAAATTACAGCTGAGGTTTTTAGTAAGGCCAAGAGATTGGCCAAAACCAAAAGACCCTGCTTTGCATGAAATATGGTGAGTGCATTCATTTACAATTTCTTCCTTAAGATCAATCTGTGTTAAGCACATGTTATTGTCTGCAGGATTTGGGTAGCTAACAATCAGTATCTCCTATCAAATACTTATATTTAGGTAGAGTAATACATACCATATATATCCTCTTGTGTAGTAACCTGAAACAATGATGCATTAGTGTTATTTCTCACTTTACATTATAACAAAAATATTAAATAAGAGAACATGCAAAGATCACAGCTGTGTAGGCAACCACTGAAACTATCTTCCACCAGTGCGGTATTGAGCTTCTATATACTGCATCATTTGTAAAGAAGTACCATGTTGTGGTAGATATTCCTCTTTGATATCTTGGCAAATATGGATATTATAAAGGGAATCATAGACTCATAAAATCACAGAACGGTTTGGTTTGGAAGGGACCTTGAAGATCATCTAATTCTAACCCCCTGCCACAGGCAGGGTCATCTCCCACTAGATGATGTTCCCAAGGAGACTTGTGCAGTAAGTTTCAGATCCTCCCAGTATCACCTCACCATACAGTGGTACACACTGCTTCTAGGGAACTGTGGGGCTGGTACCCAGCTGTGAGGGTCATGTCTGTAGCAAAGCAGATTGCCATACTTCTCTTGCCTTGTATAAATAAAAAGGGAGTTTGTTTTTTCTCTATGACCCTTCTCTAGAAGGCAAAAGCATCCTGGAATGTGGAAAGTATCTGGGCATTGTGGAGCAACAAATGGAATAGGGATGGAAACCGCTCACTCTGTTGCAGTGTTGACTGGAAAAGTATTTCCTGCACAGATGAAGATATGAGTGGAGTACATGAGTCTTGAGCTCACTTTCCACAATGCTGAACCCCAAAGTAGTTAAAAGAGCTCATTTAGCTGTCCTTACCTCAGCAGGTTCTGTTGCTGCAAAAAGCAAGGAAGAAAAGAGAGAAACAAAAGAAGTGAATTAGTTTCTGAATGCAACTTCACAGTGCTCAATAGCTCAGGCCTCCTCAGCCATGGGAATGCCTTTGGCAATTCCTCTTGCATGGAGGTGAATGGGGTGCATTAACTGATACATGGACACAGAAACTGATATTTAGACAAAGAGCCATGAAAATTCCTAGTATATCTTGCTAAGGGACAGAAACCTGGTCATGTTCCATTGAGGAATCAGCAAAGCATTTTATCAGTGTGAAAAGTGACAAAAGAAACCAGGGACCAAAATATGCTCTGCCCCTAGACTGCACTGCAAGAGGAGCAGGCTAACCAGCTCAACAATCCTGTCTGGTTCCACAGTGTCAAAGAGGAAAGTTATAACATGGGATGAAGGCTATAATTTAGCAATGAGGCAAATAATCTCAGCTTTAGTATGTACCTGGCAGCAGCTTGGAATCATTCTGAGTCCTGAAATTTCTTTCTAGTGTAACATCTTTTGATTTATATCAGAAGTCAGCTTTTAGATACAAGCATGGAAGTGAAAATGTGATCTGGTTTATGAGGAGGATCTTCATTGTTAGAATGTCGTAAAAGTTTAGAAATTGCAAGGACCTCCAGGAGTCATTCTTTGTCTGCTTTCCCTAAGGCAGAAACTGTTATTCCTGTCCACGGTTTGTTTGACCTGTTCTTAAGTATGATGAATGTGCCCCAAACCTGTCTGGCAATCTCCTCCAGTTTGCCAATAATTGCAGTTTTCTTTGTCAAAATATAAAGCCTTTTTTGTTGTTTTTTACCCCATCCAACACTGACAAAAGAACACTTAGGCAAATAGTTCTTATTTCTAAGCCTACCCATGTTCCTTATCTTTCTGAACACATAGTTTCAACAGATGTACCAAGCTCTGTCACACCTTGAAGCATCTTTCCCTTTTCATAGTTGTTATTGACCAAAAGTGCTGAGTGGACTTCCTCCTACTCAGAATCTATGTAGAACCTGCAACAGAATTGCTTCTATTCAGCCAAAAAAGCTTCAGTCTTTCTACATTGTCACGTCTGTTACATGACTGTGGGAGTCTACTGTAATGATGGGGGTTTTTTATAGAGAAGTTCACTCGGTTCCCACCAGGAAGATCCATGGCATATAAAACTTTCTGTAGGAAAGTGTGTTTTTGAATTGGTTGACCAGATTCAGAATCCATGCACTCAAGATGCATTAGATTAATAGACTAGTCAAAGTCAAGAGAAATTAGGCTCCAGGTTCCTAGGCACATAAAGCCTGCAACCCCTTTTTAAAACTCAGATGAGGTATCACAGAAGGCGTCTGCCACATCCTTCATCAAATAAACATCTGGTGTGGTACAGCCTTCAGAATGATATATTTGCATTTTCCCTGCACTGTAAATACTGAGAGATGCTTCAAAAAGGCACAAAAAGCTGTAACAATGATAAGTTAAAACTCATGGTATGCATTTGTCCCAGTCACGCTGCAACTCTGAGTCCCAGCAACTGACTACTTTGAACTCAAGCATGTCCCTCAGCCAGCTCCAAATATGCTGAGCAGTAATTTTACAACACCCCTTTGCTTCCATGCCATAAATGACAGCTCAAAAGAAGAACTGGTCAGTGCTCTATTTTCCCAAGGCCTCTGCCTCTCACAGCTCATCACCCCCTTCCCTGCTGTAGTTAAAATCCACCTACAGATTTATTTCCATTGACCTTCTATGGAGATCTGCAATTATCCCATTCTATTTTGTGAATTGACAAAAGCTTCCCAGCTAGGCCCGTACTATTTGTTTTCTATCCCAGCACAATGCAAAGATTTCTCTGACACCTGACTTCTCTTTCTCTTAATGCTGCACCAGGTAGGCAAGGAGGCAAATGAGTAGCAGTCATTTTGTAACACTCAACTTAAGGGAAAAATATCCAAATATCTTACTAAAATGCTATTTTCAAGCCTGTGAAAGCACATCTGAATTAACTGAACAAGCCATACCCCAAAGTATGTGTAAAGCACTTCCATATGAAAATACATCTGTAATCAGCCCCAGAACAGACTAAGAAACATGGCCTTATTCAAAATGCCCGAGTCAATGCTTTCACATGCTCCAAAGCCAAGCCACTCACATACAAAGTGTATGATACACAGTCAAGAATTAACAGTTGTCCTTAAAACACAGTAAAAGTCCTACTTACTTGTTGTGCTGTTTTCATAGTTCTCCTGCAAAACCAATAGGTAAAAGGCATTATTCTCCCACAGCTCATAAATGCAGCAACAACAGCATCAAAATCAGGCCAAAGGAAGGAACTAAATTATTACATTTGCTTTATATATCATTATATTACTTATATTTTTCTTGAAGGAAATTTATCAAAACGGGTCTCCATAGCACCACTCCAAGGAAGAACAGGTCAGAAGACGGAGCACAGCTGCATGGAGCTGCTCTCACCTGAATAGGGAAGCCCAAGCTAGCGTGAAGCAGAAAGGCAGTGAAGACTAGGAACATCTTCAGATCCATTCTCCAGTCCTGACAGACCACCAGCACCCGTTCAGGAGCGCTGCCGCTAGATATACCTGCTCTGCCAGGGGGGGAAACCTGCTCCAGCCAATGGGAATCCTAGCAGGAAGCAAACTTCTTTTGCAGCCTCAATAGCCTGTTTAGCCTCTGGGCATCTCTGGTGTTGTGCTATCGCTGTCACTGTGATCTATAGCATCCCTTGTCTTCATGCTGTCATTCATACTCTCTAGAGCTGGATCAGCCTCATGCTTGTGCCACCATGCACTTCCTCTGTTTCTTGGAGGATCTTTCTGTAAGTGCTCAGTTTGACTGATACCACCTAGGAAGCCCTTGTTCCTAGATAACTTTCCAGAGTACTGCATTGCTGGGATTTCAGATGGTAGGTGGCTTTTTTCTGCATGTCACAGAAAGCACAGATGGCCATTAGAGTGTTGTGTTGCTTTAGAACATGCAATACATCATTACTCCGTGAAGTCATGCCTGATTTCCTTGAGAAGTCATCCTTCATCTTCTCAGCTTATGGTTCTGTAAGTAGAATCTTTGTTTCCTCTCTGTTCCCTGATAATTCATAATATCAGGAATGTTTCCTGTGTTCCATAATTCCTGGCAGTCTGACAGCTGTAGGTGAACAGCAGTCAGAGAAGGGAAAAAAGCTGGCAACAACATAAGCAGCACTTCACTCACTCTGAGAATGATTAACAGACCTGTTGCTTGTTGAAATGCTCTTGTCCAGAAGTGGATGTAGGAAGAAATGAGCAGAAGAAATGCTTGTAAAAGGTAAACCAGCAGGCACCGGGACTCTTGTCACAAAAAGCTCTTGTTGCAAGCTCTTCCAGCAAAGCTGTGCTTGGTGAACCATTTGCTGAAGGTGGTCTAGTTGGGGAATTGTCTGGTCTCTGATACACACTTGTTCCATGTCAAAGTTCGTTTTCCATGCATGGAGAAGGAAACTGAATTACAGAATATACAGATTCTCTCTCTAGACCATGCCACTGCTCAGGTACCATCCGGGTAAGTTTTAAACCCACTCACACTGTTTCTATTTCCATATTGAATAAGATGTTCTATAAATTATCCATTTTGGTGAATGAATCAAGAAGCAGCTGAGGGCTTTGCACCCATTTGTCTGCAAAACATAAAATCATAGAATCACAGAATGCTTTGGGTTGGAAAGGACCTTAAGATCATGCAGTTCCAACCCCCTGCCATGGGCAGGGACACCTCACACTAAACCATGGCACCCAAGGCTCTGTCCAACCTGGCCTTGAACACTGCCAGGGATGGAGCATTTACCACTTCTTTGGGCAACCTGTGTGAGTGCCTCAGCACCCTCACATCCAGCATCATACTCAGTCAAAGATAGGAATTACATGGAAATGTAATCTGAATTGCACTGGTGGTTTTTACTCTACAATTAATTCAGTGGAAGAGAGCTTACAATCTCACACTATTTAAAGAAAGTCTGGACTGACAATATCCAGGGATAAACTTTCATTGTACCCACAGGGAGGCAGCATACAAGGGTACCACTTTTCCCTTTCTGTCCCTGCACTCTCCCTGAAGTAAGGTATGCAGCACCTTACTAGGTGCTTATTAGGCACCAGAAAGTAAAAAGCAGAGTAAGATGTTGACCATGAAAGAACAAAGATCAAGCAGGCATTGTCAGCATGCTAATCCTGCTGACACAGGCAGTCTGTGTGTCCTCTGCGCGCATAAACATTTGCACTAAGCAGTGCTAAGTGCCTTTCTTCATATTTGTGTATTACAGAGTTCAAAATCCTCCTTGTGCTGCAGCAAAGCTATGTAGCTCTGGTCTGCAGTCCTACAAGGGTTTTCCAGGTTTCTTGCTCAATACAAGGGCAAAATGTCAAAACCATGCCAAAACCATACCAAATAGATGCTGCAGAATGGGGCTTGCATTTAATCTGCTTTCTTTAGAATTAAGTGGGGGGAAAAGGAAAGGTCACACCACTCCCAGGAAAAAACAGTCCAGGATGAAAAGCATGGGTCAGAGGTAGTGAGGGAATAAAACAAAGCTTAAAAGCAAGTTAGGAAGGTTGGTAACCTTAGAATCTTGGTAGCATGTTATTGGGAAAATGCTACTGCCTCCTGAGTGACAGATTAGCTAATGTCTAGGAATGAATGAGGGAACTGGGCTGGCAAAAGGATGCTGCATGTTTTATGCTGGACATGCTAATATGCTGCCATATTAAGCAGTTCATCAGACAGATTGCTGCACGCCACCTTTTCCTTACGCTAACAAGATCGGGAGACTGCTGTTAGGATCAAGAATGTGGCTGTAAATGCTACATCTGGCAAAGTGCACACAGTAGAGTAACGGGGAGTGCTGACACTCACGCCTGCTGTGCTTCTCAAGATCCCATCAGCTTTGGCTTGTGCCTGATATTTAGATTCAATATGTGGCTGTTTTCCTAAGCGTGGTGTTATGGGGGAGGAAATGTTAGCAGTCCCGTTCTCATTAATCAAAATATTGCCTAATTTTTGGAGGTATTGCCAAAAAAACATTATATGGTTTTCCCAGATACAGTAAAGCTGCAAGAAAAAGTGCCACAGAAATTGTCTTGAACCTTTAGGAGCCAAACCAGGGCTGAGCAAAGAGCAACTGTGCATGTACAGAAGAAAAGCGTGTGGGAAATTCTATTGTACTTGAGTTCTCCTGTCTGTATAGCCCAGTTTCTAGTGGACAGCAGGGACCACACAGACTTTGCCGATGTGAACAGTGATCAGCAAGTGTCCAAACCAACCAAACATCAGGAATTACTTGGACAGTGCCATAGTCTACAAGGAGTCTGTTGGCAGAAAGAGCATTGCTCCTGAAAGACCACTGCAAAACTTAGAGCTGTGCTGGAGAACAGAAGCTGATTTGCAGAGACCTGTATGCATAAGCAAGAAAAGATGCTATAGATATACATCAGACATATCATACCAATGATAAAATGTACTTTCTGTTGCATATGGGAGCTCACTGTAAATCATACATAGCCAAAATCAAAACAGCAGATGTGCAAGAGTTACAACACTCCTGTAGGCATCTTTCAGATTTTACTTAGTTGTGTGTCATTAGTCATATGTGCTACACAATCCTTATTCTCTTTGGAGTGTTTCAATGTAAGCAGCTCCCAAAATAGAATGTAAACCATCAAGAGCTAGTCACAAAAGAGAAATTAAGTGTCTATTATAGCCAACTACCAACCTCTGTAACTACTAGCTACTAATTGCTGCACAGTAAAATGCAGGGGAAAAATAACTCCTGGAAACAAGAAAATAGACATATTTATGTTGAACATCTTATGGCAGTCATGTGGAAGCTACCATACCATAAGACACTAACAAATCTTCAGGGTTTAAAATCTGGCTTTACCAAAACCAACACTGAAGCAGTGGCATGGTCCACAATGCATAACTGAAATTGCTGTGGATTCGCATCACATAAATAAGCATCATACAACTACATTTACAGGCTGGGGTTAATGGCACTCTGACCCAGGATTACAGAACTGCTCAATATCATGTGTCAGGAATGTCTGCTTTGTGGGACATCTGGGGATTTTGGCCCATTTTTATTTGGAGGACAAATTCTGCTTTCAGCTCAGCTCTAAGCTCATTCATTCTGAACCCATCCTTTGTCCAGGAACTCTGGTCCTGTGCACTGCTTCCAGCTCAGTGTATTTTAGTCTGCCTCTCACTAATTCCAGGTGTCATAACACTGTCACAGAGTTTACTTCCTTTTCTGTGGTGTCTTTATTATCAGATCCTTTTCAGATATAAATCAGATTCTTTTCAGATATAGATCAGTTCTCACACAAGCTTTTCCAGTCTTGGTTTAGAGGCCTTTCAGCCCTTCAGTCCTTCTTAAAATTCAGCTCTTGCTGGTTCTACAGTAACATTTTAGTTCCTTCCTAATTGCCCATACATTTTTGGCAATGCAGTGGATTAGGAGTGGGTAATTTCATGTCATGAATTCATGTCAACCAGTACTGCACTTTGCTGGTTGAAACTATTATTGAAGTGCTTGTAGCTTCTGAAGGTGCTGGGTAACCAGCATAGACTGCAAGTCTGTATATAGAGGACTGACGTGTGTCATAAAACACAACTCTAGATAAGGTGAAGTGCAGTTAGAAGCTGCTTTCCCACACCCCGGAGCATACTTGTTGAATTAATAGATTTACTTGTTCTTCATGTTTCTCTCTACATTTTTTCCTTTGGATCCTACCTCTCAGAGAAGACCTGGAGTTGTTCAGCATGATTCCTATTCCACTTTCTGTTGCGCTTCCAGTTTCTGAGGGGCTCCCAAACGATTCCCATGTCCTTTCTAAACCATCTGTAGAAACGAATCTGCATGGTCTACAAATTCCCTACCAGAGCACTTACACATCCTACATGACACTAATGACTAGCTCCAGCTGCAGTCCTAGCCCTGGCAGTGTTTCTGTGAGAGAACTCAAACCTAAATGGCGAACATTGGCTTGCTATTCATTAGTCAGTTTTCTCCTCAGAGCCAAACCTAGAAACTTTGGTCTTCAGTCTGTCATCAGAAAAAGAGGGACAATGAAGAAAAAGATTTTGTTTTCTGCTGGATTGTATTTTACAAGAGAAAAATATAGATTTAAGGAAAAAACCCAAACTAAACCAATAAAGAAGCAAATCAGAGAAGTCATAATGATACTGTACCTTCTAAAATAAATGTTGAAACAAAGTTGATTTTAATTCCAAAGTCGGCTTTCAACACCAAATTTGGCAAAAGGATGATTTAGCAATTAAACTAGTACCTGTAATGATGTATGATCTGATGATTATTTGGGCTGAGGGAGGGGACTGGAGATGATGAAATTGGAACTTTAATTTGGACAGCTCTAGTAATGAACTTCTGATTGTCTTAGAAAAGAATAACAAATTCCTTTCTTTTATCTGGGGAAGCCATCTGATTTGTCTGCTGCCCTTAGGTGAAGAATGGATGGATCAAAGGTTTTACATGATGC